AGGCAGTTTTCTTGTGTATATGTTGAATGCTCATGTTAGATGTTGGAAATGTTTAGACAAGAAAAGAAGCCAACATGAATAGTGAAAGAATTGTCTTTGTGTTCACTCTGATATCCTGAAGTGCCATAAGATGCTAGAAAAGCAATACAAAATATAGTGGAAAGCAGTATACAGTGAACATAGTTGTTTGCCTTGTCTGCCTCATCATTTATCTACAGTAAGACTTTACTTCAACTCCTCTCTGTTTATCAAATAAATGACTGTTATGTACAAGCCAGCATTCAGACTAAAATTGGGAAAGAGGTATAAACCTTTCCTCACTTCAGGGTTGCAGAGAATCTAGCAATTGGTATTGATAGCTAAGCTATCAAGTTGCCTTTGAATTTAAAACAGAGTAAAGTCACATACCAAATACTACTTCCTTTGTAAGAATGATTAGTTATAAAGCCACTAAATACAAGCTACAAATTGGCAGCTGAAAGTTTATTTTTCTTGGCTGAATAGTAAGGATATTTTCAGTCTCATACCTCTCTGCTTAGCTAAACCATATAAATAGTGGTTAAATTCTTTTATATTCAGTCAAGTAGCTGCCCCTTAGAATTAGTAACAATCTTGAAAAATGTGCTATATTTCTGTGTTTTAGTTCTGGAATGAAGCCTTGCCAGAAATGCACCTCCTCAATATTTTTTTTTTTTTTTTTTATAACCCAAATGACAGTTAAGAGATAAAAGCTACATTGTCCCAGCAATGCAGATTACAGCCTTTGAGCCCATAATAATCTAGAACTAGTGGGGTGCAAACTGACCCTGCCAAAGGAAAGTGCTGTAGTGAAGAGCATAAGAGAAAGTAATGTGGGGAAACACAGGGAAACACAGTTCTTAATGTATTGTATTGGAACATCAAATAGTATATTTGAATATCATAACTTTGTGACTGCATTAGAGGAGGGTGATTGGATTAAAGCCTGGATTGTTTTGTCTGTGCTTAAGGACTTCTGCCCGTCCCTACAAGCACTGCTCTTTCTGAGTTTGGTCTGAGGATTTCACATTCCAGATATATAGATTTCCTGTCATGCTTATTATCAAAGCTGCATTACAAGCAGTTAACTTACATGGCAAGAATTGCAAAGGACATCTTGATCAATCATCAAGATCAGATTAGACAAGAAAAAACAAACCCTGAACTGGATGCTAGAGGAACTTTTGGTAATATACATAGAGGAAATTATGTTACTTAGAAAACATGACATTAAGTAGATCTGTTAAGAGAGTCTGAAGCAGTTTCTGGCAGCATTTTATGATGTGGCAGTTCTAGACAACCTTTTAATTGGTTATATTTCTATCTTCTGCTTGAAAACATATTTTCTGAAAAGATACTTAATGAACTGAGAAGCCAGTTACTATTTTTGAAAGGGTATTTGGCAGATGATTATAAAGTCCTGCAGAGGTTAATTGCCAATGCATTGTCTTAGGCTGTATTCCAGAGAATTCACGAAGCTGCTCAGATACAAGAATGGAAGTTGAAAAATGGCATTCGTTCCCTTGCATTGCAGAGCAGCAGCAATAAGTTACAAAGTCATGCATACAGTCTACAGAGGTTTGTTTCCTACTCCATGTAACTGGAATAAGTTCTTCTGTTAAGTCGTAGGAGGGTAAATATGTTGATTATTACATTGATAATTACAGTCCTCTTGATTCCACTTTATATTTTGAGAAAGTCTTCACACTGTCAAAGTGTGGTTATTAGCATGGGCTTTTGCATGGATACAAATCTGCTAACTATATAGAGACATTTGAGGTAAAAGTTGTTTCTTTTCATTAATTTTTGCATGCATATTAATACATGTCAGTATCTATACAGACCCATGTTCAGTGATGTCTATAAAATTTAGGAGACTTTATATAAAATTTTGGAGACTTTATTTTAGGCCATGTGCAAGTAGCAAGAGGTCAGTTGTAGATCTAGTGGTCACCATTAGTCCTCCATTATGACAGTGAATTTGAGGACCACCAATGATTCTCTAAAGGATGTTCATAGTTCCATGTTCATAGGTTTTTTTTTTTAAAGAGAATTTGTAAACTTGGATGCTCCACAAGAGTTACTGCAGGCTAACATTACTTCTCAAGGATGGTTCTTGTCTAGTAATTATTTTTCTGCTTTTCAGGAAGAGAGTTGCGTGATAGTAGCAGAAAACCATTTATGATAATTAGCTTACTTTCTCCTCTCGTGTGTTAGCACCAATAAAATTAATTATTTTCTGATTCCTTACTGACTCTTTGTTTAACAGAGTTTTATTATTATTTTTTATTCTTTTAAGGTTTTTCTAAAGAAAAATAAAATATGATGTGTGGTATAGTGATAAGAAGTACTTGGAAAAAAAAATGCTTCATTTCTCACCATCAAAACATTTCAATTGACTGTGAAGGCTTAACGTGATGCTAATTTCTTCATCACATAATTAAATTTTCTCAACTCTGCCAGCAAGGTGTCTATGGCTCTGCTGCCTTCCTCAGTACTTGCCCTTGGCCTGGGATAATGAACAAGTTTTTCAGCTTTTGTCTTACCTGGATTTCAATAAAATCTTGCAAGCTTTTGTGATTAGACTTCTCTATTAAGAGTATATATTCAAGGAATGTGTTTTCACCAGATTCAATACTATGTTAGGAATAAAGTTAAACTCTACTTTTTCTGAGCCATGTTTGTCTATTTACAGTATAGTGTGTGTGTCAATGAGGGTTATTCCAAGGTATCACTGCCTAACAGCAAGCAGCCCAGAGGCAAATTCCAGATCCCAGTGTTGAGAACTGATTTATTGCCTGCCTGCAATTAACAATTGGGCTTAAGGGTCTGGACAGAAAAGTGAAATAAGACTCTTTCAGCTCATATGTTGAATACAGCCTTGTTGACCTTTTCCATTTAAGATGAAACTAAAAGATGAGGTATCACAGATTTATTATGCAGCACTTACTTCACAGTGTATGGGGGAAGAGAACAGTGATATTTAAATTTACTTAAAGGCCTTACATTGGTTACACATCAAAGAATGAGAGTGGGAGATGTTTGGTAGGGAAAACAGACAATGAAGTATGTCCAGCACTGAAGTTCATATGTTTTTTCCTTCTTCCCTCAGGGTAAAAAAAAATTAAAAAAAAAAAAAAAAATCACTGTATATTTAAATGAACTTTACCATCTTTCTTTGATTATTTGAACCTGTGGGAGCTAGTGTCAAAACTGCTTTGCTTGTGTCTCCATTTGTTTATGTTAATATGTATTTTCTGAAGGGAGGGGGAGAGAACGAAAGAAGAAAACTTGTCATAGCATAGTTCATGAAATACAGCTATTCTGAAGAGGAAAGGCATCTTCTGCTACTAAAAACTTTATTGCTGATCCCAAACAGTATTCATGTTCCAGGAAACGGGGTAAAAACATTTTCCACAGGAAACCTTCCTTGGTAGATCTGCTTTGTTTAATCAAAAAAGCCAATGCTCTTGGCTGGCTCTCAAGACAAACATTGTGGTATCCCATTGAGCTAGCTCCAGGAACATGCTTATATTCCTCTGGTGAAGGCTGTTACATGTCTTGACCTAAATACTATGGAGTAAAATTGTGACTTGATTAGAAGCTGATAGGTTTTGTTTAAGGGATTTTCCTGAGATATAGCAGTCCACTCTGTAGCTTTTGGACAGGTATCTGTCAAGTTACAGTACAGAATAAGAGATTTTTGTCTCTTGGCTAGCTGCAGTGATGGCATTTAATTTGGAACTCCTTATGGAGGACTTTTCTCCTACCATCTGTAGATGATTGAATATGTTAACTCACAAAATGGTATTATGTTTAGCACCCAGTATATATCTTTCAGTCTTTCTTTGATACTACTGTTTCAACTGTACATGTTCTTTCTTTCATTAAATAGCTAAAGTTCAAGTGGTTTAAAACTTATTTTTTCTTACATGAAAATAGCGTTATTCACATACCAGAAAGCTAAGTAATGTCTGGGATTTATTAAATCATTCAGCAAAGTTGACCACAGACAGTTGCATATAGAACAAATGCTGGAAGAAAAATAATCTCATGTTGGCAATGTTCATAATACTATAACACACACACAGACAGAAAACCAAACACTTGGTATTGTTTCTGTTTATGCATTGCTATTTCTTTTTAGACCTTTAACTAGCTTAACATTTTTAGGTATAGAGGATTTGATCAGAGAGGAAATATGTAAGCTTAAGTCATAGAGATGATGCAAAAACGTTAACTTTCATATTATGTTGATGTCTTGGTACAGTGGTTATGGGTTATATCAAGGTATATCTTTATTTACTTGATATGATATTAATTAATAGATACATTTTATTGCTAACTTTATGTAATTCTGTACTTCTTAAAATCTTGCATTTCAAGTGTATTTACAAAATTTTGTTGCTGCAGTGTTCAGAAAAAACAGCATTATTGATGTTGGAACTTTGGTTGTTTTTTGTATCTGTTCCTAGTATTCCACATACCTGTGAGCTTTGCCACCTTGTCTGATCAGCTCTTTGCACATAAAATGCTAGTTGCGAAACAGCAGAAATATTAACGTGAGCATTACTCATCAGACAGTACTAACATAAGACGTAACAAGTGACTGAACAACGTTCTTGAGAGTTTCATGCTCTTACAATTTTCTGAACATTAAACTCATTTTTAAATCACAAACAGTATCCAAAATTTGAGCAAAGGCAATGGAAACCGTTACTTGTTGTGTAAGACTATAACCTGTAACATATGCATTATTTACTCTCATGAGTAAAAGAGCATCAAATACAATAACTGAAAATTATTTCTGCTACAACGCATCATTGTTTTTTGTTTATATTGAGTTACAACCCAGGGAAATCTTTAAACTTTGTTTTGCCTTTTTTAAATTCTATTGTTTGCACATGAAAGGATATTTGTTGTGCAGATTAAGTGGTTTGTGACTAGGGTTGGCTAATATATTATTTTGTTTTAATTTTTAGAGGACTGTGGGACATATTTCCCAGAAGTGAAAAATCATCCAGAAAAATACTTACGAAGATGTCCCAATTCTGTAAAAAAGTGGCTGAAACAACTGAAGAGTGCTGGGAAGATTCTGCTATTAATTACCAGTTCTCACAGTGATTATTGCAGGCTCCTGTGTGAATATATTCTTGGGTAAGTGCAGTGTCCATTTCAAATAATATTTCCAGATGCCAAATGGAAATAAGCCTGAGCTACAGGAAGGTTAATTTTCCTTTCTTTATTTGTTATAAATTATTTTTATCTTAAGTTTCTGGTAGGTCTATCTCTAGTAGCAAGGTAGTCAAGACAAAGTAGTTCATTTATTAGTTTGTGAGCTTCATCTGGCCCACAGCATAAATATCTTACATGTTTTCTGGGCATCATGATGGATTTAAGACATAAAGAAAAATCTTCAGGCCAACACCTAATGGAAGGCAACATCTGAATACCATCCATTTTTACAACGTTATCTGTGCCTCTCTCATCATAAGTGCCAGCAGTAGTTATATTTCTCTTCTTTTCACATTAAATCTGCACAGAAAAACTTACAAATACTTCTTCCTCATAATAGCTTCCACAAGATGGCTGTGCATGAGGAATGTGCATTTGCAGATCACAGCAGAAAAGATAAAACAGGTAGTTGATTGCACTTGGCAGTCGGTTGAGATTTGCAGCTGCTGACAACAGCTATTTTTTACCTGTATTTTTTTTAACACAACTGGTCAAGTCACATTCAGTGAAATGAAGCAGAACTTACACCTCCAGAAAGGAATTAATCAGTGATGCTAGTGGTTAGGCGGGTAACATGGTGAAACTAGTGAATCGAAGAAACAAATGTAGTACAATGTGAGCCAATCTTGACTATCTGGATATGCAAGGAAGCAGCAAAGTGAATACAGCAGTACAGTTTAAAAAAAAACACAGGTAAACTGGAAAACAGAGCAACCTCCCAAAACCAGTCCCACCAGTATCACTTGTCTATTGTTCTCTATGGGCTAAATGAAGCATCAGCTGTATCAGTTCTCACTGCTTTGTATGAATATTATGCATTGTCATCTGATGGGGTAAACCCACCTCCTTGCAAAAAAAAAAATATTCTTCTATTGAGAAAGTTGTTTGTGAATTAACTTTTTAATGTAGATCTGTCTAGTGGTTTTCTGAACGAGAATTTGGTATAAAACTAAAATCATTAGCAACATATAATGATTTTGGCTTTTTTCCTTGGTGAAATATGTTTCAGCAGTTTTCACAGAATCAAAGGGGTGGGAAGGAACCTCTGGAAATCATCCAGACCAACCCCCTACCCACTAAAACAGATTCTCTACAGTAGGTTGCACAGGAAGGCATCCAGGCAGGTTGTTAATATCTCCAGAGAAGGAGACTCTGCAGACACTCTGGGCAGCCTGTTCCAGTGCTCTGAAGGCAGCAGTAGAGATCCTACTTGAAACATGATAGAGAAGATTGGCTGCCTCTCAAAAGACAGAAGAGATACTCTGCTAGAAGAATATTGGATCACTTTGTCTCTTTTCTCACGAGTATATGATATTCTAAAATTATCTTTTCCAGTGACTGATCAAAACTGGCTTCACAGACATCTTCTGGAGTAATAAGTACTTCACTGTCCATTAGATCTTACTGAAGTATTTTTTTGTCTTGAAAGTAATTCTAAACACTCTGTTACTCTTATTTACTCCATGCCTCCTGTATCAAATGACGAATCTCTACTTTCTCTAGCTGCTTTTTGTACCACTAGAATACAGTCTAGGTTCATATATACTATCTGTTCTTTTAACCTTAATTTTTCCAGGTTAACTGCATTTTATTTTTTTACATCAACCCTTGTGAATTGCTTCATTTTCCTTTTTTTAATATTTCTTTTCAGTTAATTAATAGTACATTTAAAAAAAAAAAAAAGATGGAAAGTGGAGATGTGTGAAGTTTTCACCACTTAACAGTTCCAAGATAAGGACATTATTTTTAACTTATTTTCAGTTTCTTGAAAAAGTTCCCCTTTTGCGAAGAAATTGCTGTCCACCTAAAATCAGCAGTGAGAATTTAATAATAATTAAATAATAATTATTTAAATATTTAGCAAATATTTAAATAATTTAATAATAAATAATAATAATTACACTTTTCTATACAGAGAAAAAAAAAAAAAACACAACAGAAGAGGATGCTTTAGTGAAGTTGTTGTACTCGTTTGTCAAATCCTGAAGTGTGAACACTGAATTTAATTTCCTTTGCTTTCCAGAAATGATTTTGAAGAATATTTTGATGTTGTGATCACAAATGCTTTGAAACCTGGCTTTTTCTCCCATACTCCAAACCAAAGACCTTTCCGAACTCTTGGTAAGTTGCAGCCATGACTTCCTTCTCACCTTCTTGCATCTGTTATAAAGAAAAAAATATGAGAGGACTGAACCGAACAAATAGTCTGAACAACATATTTTGAAAATGAAGCTTAATACATAAAATGGATTCTACACAAGACTCTTCTAAAGATATTAGTAAAAAATTCTGTTAAGACTGAGGAGCACTGAGAAATTAAGATTTAGAGTGAAAAGGCAAATCTGTGACAGAGATTAAAATGGTATTGATGCTCAGATATTGCATCATTAATAAAAAACTAAGAATCTTATTCTTTGCTGAGCATAATATAACAGAAATACTTAAAGATTTAAGAATGGTACAAATAAAATTGCAAGGTTAGAGGAAATTATTTATGATGGAAATCTGACAGTATTAAATGTGTGTACTTTGGTTAAATCACAACACAGTAGGCAAATGGAAGTGCTACTGTACTCAATTCAGTCAAAATGTTCTGAAACATTTAGCACTTTTGACAACCTAATTAAGAGCCATTAGGTAATTAAGGTTGTAAAAAAAAGTTTGACAAACAGTGTTTGTCAAACTACAAGTAAGAACAGAAACATGGCTGAAGCCAGTTAATTTTTCCATATTCTCTTCAACATCAAAAATGATTAAAAGCTGCTTAAGAATTAACCTTTGTATCCAAAATAGGATACACCAGCATACATTTTAGTATTTTATGACAGGAAAATCAGCTGTTGTAGACCAAAAGAAAAACTGGCTGTGGAACTTTTATGGTAAAATTAAAACTAGCAGTGGAAATATATGTTAAAGCTGCATTTTAATGTTTCTTCTATCCACATAGGAAAGTTAATAATAAAGATGTTAAATGAAACCTTTAAAGGTTTAATACAACTAGGAAATTGCAAGTTGACAATTCTAGAAAAAATATACTTAGAGAACTATTACTATGGAATGGGGAAAATAAAAAAAATATAAAGGGTAAAAAAAGCTCATTTCTGTAAACATTTTATTTAACTGCATATAATGCAAACTGAAAATAAAATATAATCCACTTTGGATATTTTAAACAATCTTATTAGCCTCATTTCCTAAGGAAGTCCTGCTGTGTCGCTGTCGGTAATCCAGCTAGCAATGTTTGAACCTTTTGGTCAGTTTCAGTAAATTCAACAGACAGGCAAAAATTTTTCTTTGCAACAAGGTCAGAAGAGGGGAAAAAGACTTTGCATTACTGTCTCCTTTGAGAAATATTGTGTAGAATTAGCTTAATCACATTGTGTGACTGTAAGTACCAATTTTCATGAAGCTATTTCTTTCTCTTGCATTCAGACAGAAGTAGCATTCCCTGGAACCCTCTTGCTGACTCACTAGTTTTCATTCACTATGTTCTGGCATTGCAAATCTTTGCTCAATTTGCTCAAGTGAGGGTTGCTCACTCATTAAAATGTATCACTATACTAATAGATAAGTGGCACAAAGGCATATAAAGCCATCAGATAAATAATAAGCTGTGAGTGGACTTATTTTTAATAAATTTGTATTTTATGGACAGTAAATAGCTTTTTCTGAAAAATGAACCTGAGCATTTAAAGCAAAGAATTATACTTTGGAACAAGCTGTTAGAGACACGGTTTAAAACAGCAGAATGCTTGTTTAAGACTATGTGAATTTTAATGAATAGAATAATTATGTGAGGAAATGTCCAAAATAATAATACACTTTTATAATGTATCTTTTGCTGCCCTCCTTTTATGTTCCTCACAATAAACATACAGCTTCAGGGCAGGCACTGATAATTTCACCCCTTTGATTTGCCCATCTATTACAAGGTCAAATGTTATAAATGTATTTAAGGCAAAAAATATGGAATGTGTTTTTTAATTTCAAACACCTCAAGTGTTGTTGCATTGTGAACTGGAGATGAATTTCATTCATCCATCAAAGGATTTTTGCTGCAGATTTATTAAGAGGAAGTCTTTGAAGCTTACAGAAGGGAGTAAATTCTTTGCTGTGAATGATTTCAAACAGGTGACTGTGTTCAGTAAACATTTGAAGGAGGACAAGAAGCCGGACAATGTGACAAAGAAGTCATTGTCTAGAGATGTGAGATCGGATAACTGTTGCACAGAAATGTTGTTGTTGTTTTTCAGTTGGCAAATCATTTTAAAACTAATCCGCTTAGAACAACGAAAATGATTTTAACTGTGCAATTAAAAATGCATCACTACTTCATCTGAGTTTCAAGACATGCACCATTTTAAGAAACCGAAACACAGTTTGAAGTCTTAAAAAAATCGTGTGACTACTTTTTGTTAAAGCGAGGCACTGAAAAGCACAGTATTTCACTATTTGTTTAGCATAGTTATCTTTCAGTGCACCGTTCTGTTAAATGAAGGAGCAGCTTATACATATCTTTCTAGCTTTCTTAACAGCTACATTTAGTTTTTCCTGGAAAAACAGTTTTTATACTTAGGTGTGTCTTAAGCACATAGTTTGTGAGAACAGTATTGTTCCCATAATGCAAATACTCTATAATTTATCTGAGGTACTTGTTATTCAGAAGGTTGCTTTTTCTTCTACAGAGAGAAATTATTTAATTGAGTCATGGAAGTACTAGTAACATCTTGAGCTATTAGATCTAAGAATCTGGTTGATAATGTTTGTGTAAATCCCACATTGAGAGTGCAGAACTTTCTACCTTTACTTTCAATTACTACATCTGTCTTAAAAATAATATAAAATTCCGTGGTGGGCTTGAAGGAATACAAATAGCAAATATAGCTGTGGATCATCTGAGATACTGCAAAACATCAAGATTTCTGTAACGTTTGACAGCAGAGCTTTCTGTTTATCGCTTGCTAACGAATGTTAAATTACTGTCCTGATGGCCAGTTCTGATATTGCCAGAGATATTGTTTGGAATGCAGAGTTAAAATGGAAATGCTAAAGATAGCCCTAACTTCACTGAAAACCTTCTTTAAGTCTGTAAGTACAGGGTGTTCTCACTTGATCCTGAATAGAATGTTTATATTCTTTATTTCCAGCTCAGAAGCAGTTACTGTCTTTTGGTCAGGTTTTTTGATCAGCTAAGGTTGTGTTGCTGGGATTGTTATATGTTCAGTGTTTGACTGTACAATGAATATTTTAGAGTGTATTTGACGATATATCTTCATATATATGTGCACAAACATGCTAGGCCAAAAAAAATCCTGCATATGGAGTAGCAGTGGTTGCAATATATTTTTGAGGTTGTGTGCCTTTCTCCAGTGCCCAGAGAAGCAAACCAACTCTCCTCCTTCCTGCAGGGAGTCTTAGGTTTTCATAGCCCACTTTCAGTTACAGTTCTAACCTGGCTACCTTATTCCTGCACTTGAATTCCTGTCCTGCTTATGTTCCTTCTTGTACATGATGTAGCTCCCAGTTTAGCAAAGTCTGTTAGTCCTCTATTTTTTTCCAATTCTCTTGTTTGTAACTGCCATTTTAACAATTCAGCTGCTTCCCTCAGTAATTCTTCTCAATCCTTCTAAAAATATAGGAAAATGCTAAGAACTGAAAAGATAAATTAGGAAAAAAAAAAAATAAGGGGCGGGATATAAAATGGCATACTTGTAGGGGGAAGACAGTCTAATTATTATGGCCTGCAAGACTTCATAAGAAAGACATGGTTCCATGTCTGCATTTTAAGCTTTCTTCTGCAACATCTGGGCTTGATTACTGCCGAAGGTGGGATGCAGAAGTGGGTGGAGAGTCAGGATTGAGCCTGTACAGCTATTTTTATGTATTTGTATTGCAAGGCATTTCAGGCCCAAGTAGTGGAATCTGGAAGGAAGTGGCTTAATTTCCCTGGATGTTAAATGTGTAAGCCATATTATTTTTCATGTCATTCTTTTTATTTGAGACTTCTTTCTTTAAGGGCAGGAGAATAGCAAAATACTACCCTGTAAATAATTTTCAGTACTTTTAGTAAAACTAAATTAAACCATTAAAAATATGGAAATTTTGAAACAGATGGTATTGCACCTTTATAAAGGAATATAGCTTTCAAATATTCTAGCATCATTCACTTGCATAGTTCATGAAAGTAATAAAATTCTTTTCATGCAGGTCTCATTTAGAAGTTCTATGTAGTGCATTGCCACTGTTCACCACATATTTTCTGGGTATTTTGTAAAGGAAAAGGGCACTTGTAACTGACATAACCTATTTTTAAACTCTGGTTTACAAATTTAGATCTTTTTATACCTTTTGACAGTATGATATGAAGATTGAGCCTCTCCTAATTCTCTAATACCAGAAACACACCCTGTATCTTGCTGGCAGAAGGGGGTCAGCTATTTTAAGAGATGAAATATCTGGTTCTATACCCAAGACACCAGTAAGAAGTAATTTCCTACTCTTTTCTTGACTGGAGATTTATATTTTATCCGTCATTTCTGTGGAAAGAGGAATGTGTTTTTAGGCAACTATTTGGTTGCCTAAATAAATGATGAAAGGCTTCGAATAATGAGATCTTCATAATCAGTTATAGATTCTGACAGTTTTTGGTTTTTATTCTGAAAACCAGAAAAGATTGTGGCAGTACCTCATAAAGACGATGCCTTCAGCTGAAGTCCCTCTTTGCAGTTTGATCAATGCCTGATTGCATTTGCTTGAAAGCAACTTAGAGCTCATTAGAACAGCTAGAAACAAAAGCAACTTCCCTCCTTTGTTCTGGTAGTTTCAAAGTTTTGGTGGTTGTTGCCTCAGAAAAACAAGTGTTTAGAACATTTTGATTTCATGGTAGGGATATCAGGGTAGTGGGAAATTGAGGAAGTAATTTTTATTGCTACTTGGAAGCATGTAATAGAATCACAGAATATCACAAGTTGGAAAGGATCAGTTGGAATGGACAAGGGTCACTGCATCCAATCCTAAGGACTCCTGTCAGTATAGCTGTGTTATAAAATGATGCAAGGGGCAATGCTGCAGTTTGCACTGTTTGTATATGTAACCACTATTACAATGACACAGTTAAACCT